AGTCTGTTTACCGAATAGATGGAGTGTTCACGTGCGCTTCAGATGCCTACAAAATGAGCGTTCAAGCTTATGAAAACATCAAAACTGAATGAAGCTTTGGCGGGATGTTTGAAAATATTTTTGCATGTATTTGTAAACAGCTTCATAAAGTTAAAGCGTATTTTATTACGTAGTAATTGCTGTAATTTTTTTAGAGAGATTAACACTGCACCAATTATATTTTAGTCACAATAAAAATGTTCTTTAAAAAGTACACATACCACCAACAAATTTACATAGCAATCTCAAGCGCTTTGTAAATTTTAAGTTCGTAATACAAGATTTTATTGAATTTACATAAGACCCGAGGTTAAAGCTTAGGAAGTAAACTCATTCAGCAAATCAGAATTGTACAAAGCTAAGTTGTTTACAACAACAAAAATAGTCTATTTTCGGGCTTCATAATTTCGCCTTACAATTTGTGTCTATTTTTAACTGCTACGTCAGTGCAGAAAAAAATAACGATCAAATACTTTGCCATTTTTTTTTAAAGAAAATAAGCTTCTTTCTATGATATTTAGAGCTAAAAATACCTCTCTATCTGTCGTAGAAAAAGTAACCTTGACTGTCTGAAAATGTGCACTTGTCACACAACAGTAACTGCTCAAATTATAAGTTACAAAATGAGACCGAAACGGAAAAGATGATTGGTCTTTCTTAAATTTACTCTTTCCGTCCAGCGAACAAATCAATTTGAATATTTCAGTGAATTTTAAAGTTTGCTGTTAAATTTTTTATCGTCTTAAAGATTAAAAATCACTTTCCGACATAATACTTAAAGTACAAAATTCAATGTTTCAACAGTTTAAAGTTTGCACTCTATAGATAGAGTATTTTCTATTTTATCCTGCGCAAATAAATTGAATACGACCCTGGTGACCCGAAAACTATCCGACAATGTAGACTGCTTTTCCGAGAGTCTCTTTGCTGAATTCAAAGTGTGATTTGCACTATAACTATTTTAGATTTCAATCTCAAATCACTATAGTGTGATTTCTACAGTAAGCGTTTATATTGACTTTTTATTTCATTTCTCTACTTTTTATATAGCGGGACGTGAGTTAACATAAGCGTTAAAGAGTGTGGGAATTCATTACATATTATAGTGAGTAGTAATAGTTACTGTGCAGATCGACAAATAAAATTAAAAAAGTCGCATCATGGCAATTAATTAGAAACGAGAAGCCTATTTATCTCAAATGTGTGAATTTTTGAGGTTAGTAAATACCGAGTGACCATTGTTGATTGCAATTGTTGTTGTCAGGTTGGCGACTTATTTAAAATTTTATGATGGCATACCTGGTTGTCAAAGTAACATTTATGACAGCTGCTATCGTCTCAACCGATTAACACATTTTTTAATCATCTTTTAAAATTTTGGTGAAATTAGTCATCATGTATCTTTAAAAACCACTATCTCAATTATTTCCGAAAATTTTAGCACGCGGTTTTCATCACTGTTTTGCATTTATATTAAACAAATTTTAGTTGGTTAATCCCTAAATCGTATCGTATTCCTGAAGTAATTATAAAACTTGACAATAATAAATACAATAATTTAGAATTATCTGTCTAATAAAAATCGGCACCGACGACAAACGATAGACAGACGTAAATGCGAGACCTATTTTTTAGTATTCTAGGGTCATGAGCTCTCGAAAAAAATTAATTAAATAAAAAAAATATTCGAAGGTGATTTCGACAGAACTTCTCTCACCTTTGAACTATAATCCGACAAATCCTGCTTCTTTAAAAACTTATAAAATTTGGTTTTGCGATTTACGTTTTGTGATAATCTCTATAAAGTAAAAATCAATGGAATAAATAACACTCCCCTGTAGCCCCGACGCTCAATGTAAAATATATTTAAAGCAGATAACCAACCGAAAAATGTCCTCTCAGCTTAACTTCGAGTATTTGTACATCGAAAAAATGTCACGTAGAAATTCGAATGAGTTTGTCTCTACAAAATAGAAGACTAAAATTATTAATTAAGCCAGAATCGTACAAAATTTTCATGCTACTATAAGTCTTATTTCAACATTATTAAATAAAGACGTGCGTATTCTCACATGTTCGAGAAAATGAGGTGAGGTTCCTAATTTGATCAATAAAAAATTTGTGATGACGTCATCAACATAAATAATACTAGTCATAACACAAAAAAACTAGTCACAGCGCATTGCCAATACAAGAAAGCAAAAAGAAATGGCCACGTTCGGCATCAAAAAAATGCACTGCCTCACGAATGTTTATATCACGTGTTGGTAGTACAATGTAGTACCTTGCAAATGTTTTTGCGAAAACTTGAACGTTGAGAGAAAAAACTGAAAGCGGATTCATAGAGCACAGGTATAGGTGAATATTGTTGCATAACATTGAAATCATTTTAAAATGGAATTGATTGAGATGACCTCATCAAACTGTGGGAATGATTGGCCAAATTTTAATTAGCGTTTCACCATCTGGGTAGGTGATATTTACAGATGCCAGAGAGAGAGAGAGAGAGAGAGACGACAGATAGACGGAAACGGGAGATAATTTTTTTTTGTATGCTAGGGGTCATGAAACCTCAAGAAAACACTGACTGGACTGGATTAGTATATTTTGTTAGCTTCTGATTGGGAAGTAGAAAGGACTTTCCATATATTCCTGAAATTTTGGGAATGTTGTTGATATATGTGTCGTTCCTAAAAATTTGATGATGTAAAAAAATTTCATTATGAAAAATGACCCATATGAAACTTTTTTATCTGTGGGTTAACGTTCTTTATTTTAACTGATAGGGTTATCATTGAAAAACATAATTCGCAGTATCAAATTTTATAATTAGGTAATTTATCTAGGAATTTGTTTTTTTTTTATTGTACTTTCCGTGAGAGGAAAGTTCTGTTTAAATAACTTTATACCAATTTTCGTATTTTTATTGTCAAGTTTTCTAAAGCTATTTGACAATGGTCCTGCTTTTTTAAGTTTTCTTTATATTTATGTGCAGTTTTAATAAAAATGTTGTGATTGCTGAATAAGCAAACAAGTGGTTCTAGCAAAGCATTTTAAATTTACAAGTGGTTGAACGCTAAAAAATTTGGAGCTTATTCTTTACCGTTTCTAGAACGACGGAGGCGGTCATTTGACCGCTTTCGAATTTTTTATTCTTGATATCTCTGGTTTCATAACGTATTTCGTTATCATCCTTCGTGACAATTATTTATTTGTTCTTGATTGTATGTGGAAAAAATCGCAATTCAATAGGACTGTTCGTCACCTGTGTGAGGATATGTCTTCCTAGAAAGACGGAGTGCGGTCATTTGACCGCTGCAATAAAATCGCTTCAAAAATTCTCGAAATAATTTAAATTACCTCATACCACATACTGTTAACATCTGGACTTAATTTCCACTAAGATGGTTGGTAATTTTCGTGGTAACTTAATTTATTTTGGCATTGCACGTGATTACATTCTTTGGTTTGGATCTTGTTCTTTTCGTGAAGTGTGTGCTTTTTCTTGGTGATTTTTGCTTTGAAAATGTCGCAACATTCGGTGAGAAAATATATGATAGATTTGGAATTACTCGCAGAATTGAATAATTCGCCTCGAGACGGATAGTGGTAATGTATATGACACAAAAGTTCTGAAGTATAATACTATAACGCCGACTGTATATCAAGAGAAAAAAACAAAAATGTTCTGCTTTTGAGCACTATGCATCCTGAAATAATAATTCAAGATAATCGAAAAAAGCTTCTGGACACCATAGCCTATTGCAACTTTACAAAATATGGCGACGATATTGTGGACCAAGTGGCTGGAAAAAATTCGTTCAAAGCGGGATCAAGGACAAGTTATTTATAACATTTTAGACTTGGCTGTAATAAATGCATGGATTTTATATCAGGAAGTGATAACGAAGAAAATAAGCAGACGAAAATTCCTCTTGAAATTGTGAAAAGAACTCCCAGCAAGTGATGTTGGGTCAGGTCAGGTCAAAATAATAAAATGACCTACTGCCTAAGAAAAAGTTCACAGGAAAAAGAAAACAATGCCATGCAACTAAATGCCGCAATAAAGCAAACCGAACGCGTGATAGATGCAAAAATAATTTATACGGAAAATATATTAAAGTTACAAATTTCTTGTATGCAAATTGCTTTGAATCATAAGTTTCATTTATGATTTCCACTTTCTAATGTTTATGTTACTGTAATTTAGTTATTTAATTAATATTAATAAAGTATTTACGCTATTGGCCATGTTTTACTGAAAAAAAAGTACAGCGGTCAAATGACCGCAAGCCGTCCGTAGAGGTATGCGTTAAACGCCGTCCTCCTAGTGTTAAAGAAAATTTTAATCAGTTGTGAGCCTTTTCACCACTGAAAAAATTTCTCATGCAAAAATTATGAAATAATAAGCTGAATAAAGCTTTCCACAAGCTTTTTGTGGTTATTGTTACACATTTTTTACGTTTAAATATTTTATAAATACCATTGTTGTGTTATTTGATTAACTTTCTACGTATTTATTTTTACAACTTATCTGTAGAATAACCTTGTACGGTATCATTCCGTCCGCTTTTTTAAACATTTATTCGTTGGTTACAAACGTACACTAAAATTGTGTGATTTAATTACAATCTTTATGCCACCATTAATTTCACATTTCAGAAGGGAAAACTTTCGCGGCTACCTCATTTCCACTGTTCTGCTCCTGCACTATACGGCCAACTGTAGAGTAGAAATAGTATAATAAAATCATTTGGAGGTATGAAATGGAATGGTTTTTGCAAGTTTGGTGCTCGCAAACTTAAAAATTTACTAGTTAATTTAAATTAATGATTCATTAAACTTGGTACACTTTCGAGTTAGAGGCAAATGGGAGTTGGCCACACTATAGAAGGGAGCATGCGATTCGACTCTGGTTTTGCCCCCTCGCTGATATTTTCCTTTAGTGATGCGCTGTTTTCCGAGCCGAACAGACGACGGCGCTTGCTAATACCCAGCGACGTCGCGACGCTCGTCCACGTGATCGAGTCGCAGCAGAATTGGCCATTCCCGAAAATCGGCGAAGTTAGTTTTTGATAAACTTCGTTAATTATTTGACGTAACAAAAGCCAGCGGCGGACTGACAGCCGTTTTAAATTTCCTATTTTTCAGGAATTCCTGAATTAATTTAAAGTTTTTATGGTGGCGTCTTCCCATTGTAAAGGAAATAAATAAAAACGGACAGACTGGCCATAAAGCAAATCTAAAAGCTCTGCAAATTGCCGGGCAATAAGAAATAAAACTTTATTAAGCCATTTAGGCATCGTTAAAAGTGTTTACAATTCAACTAATGCCAGATTAAGTGCTACAGCACATTTAACGTACGAAACTTAAAACTGAACTAGTTTTGTGTATTTATTTTGTGCAGCTATGTTCTGGCTACGACTGTTTTGTTCGGTTCTTTTCTTCTTGGCTGAAGGTAAGTGAAGCGTTTGTAAGATAAATTCGTGTCGTTTTGGTGCTGTAACCGACTCATTTCCCGATGGACGCCTTTAGATTTTTATTTTTGTTTCGTGTTCTGGGCGGATAGAGAAATTGGATCAGAGCAGTGAACATAAATAAATTACTTTTGATAAATATTTGACTCTTGAATCTACCGATAATTGTTTCCGGCCGAAAACGTATGACTTGATTCTATCGTTATACGCCGCATGCACTGAATCCTTTATCTTAATTGAGACAGTTTTTTTATTAGTTTGGAATTTTTGCGTACAAAAATTACTTTACTTTGTCTGTTTTATAACTCTCCAACTTTAATTATTGTAACGAACAATTTCAAGATTCTGTGTTCAAAACTGTGTACTCACCGGAATATAAAGGCAATTTTATTCGGTTCCAATATTAAATCAACGCCTGCACATTTGGTGTTTGATGGTCAATGTATGTGCATTTTAAATTTAAAGGCCGTGACTGTGTAGGGTGATTTATTTAAAGATTTTTGTGCAATTTATATGGTATTTAAAGATGTCTACTGAAGGTACCTACAGTAATTTCTGTTAAAGTATGAAGCAGACATTAAGTAGACTATCTTTAAGAATTTAGTAATGTAAATTATAATGCAATTCTATGCAAAAATACAATTATCTTAAGACATTTGACATCTAATCTTTAACCTTTGATTAATTTGATAAAATTTCATGCAGTATTGTGTAACGAATCGGTTATGTCTGTATTCTTTGGAATGTATGTTATTTTAAATTGTTTCACACATGCATTAGCGTTAAATTATATGGGTAGAAAACAATCGAATTTTTGAAAATTATGTTATACTTAAAAGCTTCTTTACCAGTTGTAATTTTCCCATGCCACACGAAAATTGGATCATTACAGTTCCGGTTGCAAAATGAGCAACTTAAATATTACAAACAATTGTGATTACATTTTGTATACGACTATTATTATTCTAAAACTTATTACATATGGTAATGGGTAAGGACAAAATTACCTTCACAAATCTGAGATCTACATATATCTCAACATGTTTCCAAACAGACATTCATAAATATTTAGTACTCCTAATTACACAGCCTAAACACTTGAAAACAGAAGCAATATTTGCATCAAGATGTTGACGAAAATTTAATTCACTGTTAAAAATCACTTCAAGCTCTTTATGCATTTTATTTTGCGTTGGTATAACTGAACAACGTTCGTTGCTAAAACGAATTCACAAAATATTTAGTATGTTCAGTGGTCGTATACAAGCGCCACGTGTTGTCAATATTATTCTGCAGTGTTTCACAGTAATTATTTAATATTAATTATATCCAAAAATATACTTCCACTCCTTGACAAATAGTAAATAGTAGGCATTAAAATAACATGTAATGTCATTAATGAACACGGCAAAGAACAGGGTGCTTAAGCCAGATCCCTGCGAAGCATCAAGCCATAATACTGTTTATAATTTGCACCTGTAGCCATTTTAGTGCACAAACTGGTATCTATCCATCACATAGTTTTGAAAAAAAGTGATCAACCTGTTGGAAAAACCAAAAGATTTGTGAAGAGTTCCGCACACACAAATTTCACAAATAAAAATGTGTATATAGTGTTAAAGTAAAGGTAAAGAAGCATATGTTTCAAGAGAGTTTTTTCATTCACAAAATTGATAAATCACACTCATAAGACACATTTTGATAGAATTTATTTCGCAAACTTTTGAGATGACATCATCAATTTTTACGGAGAGCCAACTTAATATGCTTACGATTAACTTAAAATGTTTGCAAGATTTCAGAGCATTTAGTTTTGCAGTTTCAAGGTTAATTGTAAAATTTTGTTATACAATTTTATAAAAAAAAAAAAACAGAATGTCTGCATTAAAAAAATCAAGATGAACTCACTAACCACATGATTGTGTAGGCGTGTGTTATTTTATAAAATGTAAGTAGCATTCACTATGAAACATTTTTATGTAACATTGTCGTTGGGGATAATTAGACAAATATATATAACATTTAACAACAAATGGAAACGGAAGACCTACTTTTTCATACTCTAGGAGTCACGAAATTTCCAGATAATATGAAAGTAAACGTTTGCCGGATAGACCCTCCTACAATACTTACTTAGCTTTCATTCGGAAAGTAAAATGATTAATAATTCCAGAAAAAACACTGGCAATTGCAAATTAAAAACGCTGGAATTAAATTCGCCATTTTTACTTCCCGAGTGTAAGTTTAGGGTTCGAGAAAAATTATTTTCAAATTTTATATACATATAGGTATTTTAGGAACATCGTGTAGATGAGTAAAACTCTACCCAAAAATGGTGTGATTATCTCCATCAACAATTTAATAATGTCACTTCAAAATTTTGCATGGTAAATGCTATTAAAATTTTATGAAATAACATACTCCTGTACTTGTTTTTATTGCATTTAAGACTTCACCTCGTTCGTTGTGTTATATGTAGAACATTTAAACAATCGGGTATTTGATTACGGTAATTATTATTTGAAAATTCAGAAAAGGAGTAAGAAATACAATCTTCAAAACTATCAAATATATTCCGAGGACTACGCTTAAAGTTAACATCACAACTCAGTAAAACAACTCAGTACAATTCTGGTAATGAGTGTGGTGTTATTTTTATGTTTTTCTTAACGTCCTAGATATTTATTAAAGTTTATAAATTATCTCGAATATCTTTTCTAAGTTTTGATGTTAACTCTTTAAAACTAGAATAACACTCACTGTCACTATTTGCTTTATATTTTAATCATACTATGAAGTATTTTTGTAAAGGACATGTGAAAAAGCATAGTGATTATATTGTTACTATTAGATTTTTTTTAAAAATTGGTCGAAGGTTGAAAGAAAATGTATATCAAGTTGGATATGTGCACGTAATACAAATGATAACAGTACTGTATTCCTAAATTTTCGGGAAAGTGGAGTGAGCCGCATGGAACAGTTGAGCCGCTCCCGATTCAATCAATAAAATAAAATCACCCTGTATAACCAGTTTACAAAATTTTACGCAATGATAAATCACAAGGACAGATTCATTATATTTTGCACACTTTGGATAGGAATTATTCGGCAAAATTTTGAGGTGGCGTCATCAATTTTTGTGGGGGATAAACCCATACAATTTTACCATACTTACGATAAGTTTAAAACGTCTACAAGATTTCAAAGCAGTCAGTTATGCAGTTTCTGATTTAGTCAATAATAAAATTAACTCTTTCATTAATTTTTAAATCACCCTGTATAAGTAATTGTAAAAACTATGAGTACATTGATAAACCACAATTATAATTATAGTCATAATATTATGTATATTATAGAGATAATTTATTTAGAAAAATTTTGAGATGACATCATCAATTTTCTAGGAGGGGATAAACGAATAAATAAACTTTGATTTTGATTGATTTTCCAAAATTAAATTTTATCAGTTTTGGAAATTGTATTTAAGGAGCGACGGAAGTTCTGTCTAAATAACGTTTGATCATTTTTACTTCCCGAGTGTAAGCAAAGGAATTATTGTAATCGAGTCCGTCGGCCGACTCTCTACGTTTACGTTTTCTCGATCTTTCATGACCCCTAGAAGACGAAGAAATAGGTATCCCATTTCCGTCTGTCTGTCCGTCTGTCCGTCTGTCTGTCTGCCGTCTCGGATTTTTATTAGACAGATAATCTCCGAAAGTAGTGGACCGATTGTCATGAAATTTTGTATCCATATTAGAAATATCATGTAGATGGTAAAGCGCTAACCGAAATTTGTCTAATCATCCCCACCAATAATGTGATGACGTCATTTCAAATTTGTACATAGTAAACGGGTTTTAAATTGTATAAATTAGCATAGTCCTACACATGTAGTTTATGACTCCGAATTGAGTTTTAACCCGAAACGTCCAGATCTTTGAAAAAAAAAATCAAAATTATGAAACATTTTACAATTTAATTTGGAATCTGCAAAACCGAATGCTCTGAAATCTTACAGATGATATACAGTTATGATAAGCATGATAAATTTTTAATCAAAATATATTTATTTATACCCTCCAAAAAATTAATGAAGTCACCAAGTGTTGCTGAATAAATCCTATCTAAAGTGTGCAAAATATGATAAGTCTGTACTTGTGATTTATCATTTCATTCATATTTTTTGGATTTGCATATACAGGTTGACTCAAAAAAATTAATGAATGCGTGAATTTATTATTTATTTAATCAGGAACTACAAAACCGAATGCTTTGAAATCTTGGAGATATTTTGATGTTATCATAAGCATTGCTTATACGGGGTGTCTGAAAAAAATTAATGACTAAGTCAATTTATTTTATAGATTAAATCAATTAAGAATTGCAAAACTGAATACTGCGAAATATTGACGTATTGAAGTCAGTGTGCTTTCGGTGTTGTGGAAATACACGTTCTATAAAATATAAAATCTGTGTGCCGTCTGTTCAGACTTTTATTAAGCAGATAATCTCCAAAACTACCGGACCGATTGTATTTAATATGAATATTAAGAATATCGTGTATGTAACCAAAATTTGCCCAATCTCCCGCTTAATGTCATGACATCTCAAAAATGTTTACAATAAATTTTATAAAATAGAAATTGAATACAAATTCGTAAAATCAAATTTAATTTTTCGACGAAGCGGGATTTGTGGCACTGCACTTTGAGGGCGAGGGGAGTCCTGTCGAATTAATTTTCGACCAATTTTTTTTTTAAATTAAAGGTCAATTAAATTAGTAGCATAAATTTTTAAAAGTTCGTTCTCAGGTCCAAGACATACAGAATCCTTGTTTACTATACAAAGTTTATTAGCATTTACTAAGTCTAGAAGTCTGTCAAAGTATGTTACTTATTAATTATTAATTATAGAATTATCAAGTCAAAATACTTCATAAAGTTATTAGTAACAGCAAACTTTGGCTTGGTGGTATTATAGA